ATTAACCAACTACGACTTACTTTTAGATCCTAGGATTGTTCTTTTAGGTCTTTGGCCCGAAAACGGTCCATCTATAAAAAGGAGAAAACTAATAGGAATGCTGCTTACTGCGGCAAAATTCTTATAGCCAGATCCTGGAAAGAAAAAGCAATTCCTACGGTAGCACAATGGTTTCACAAAATCTGGGATTTGTTTATGTTAGACGTTTTCTCAGTTTATAAGGATTCTATTTATAATGAACAACTTTTTTACAATCCGTTAAGTATTTGGTTCCCTTTAGTAGAAAAGATAGATTTAGAATGTTTTGAATGGGAGGCTATTAAAGCTGCCAAATATAAGCTCCTCCTATTTTGTTGAGGCTACAAAAGGATTTTGCTAAATAGATTGTTTTTTCACAGAAGCTAACGGTTGTCAGTCTATCAAAATTGTTTATATACTATTATAGTACTGTAAACGATATGTAAATGATAGTATTGTAAATGATATGGTTCCAGTGCCCCTTTTCTTTTTGTTGTCACAGGTATTTTGACATCGCTGCTGCTATTTTAAAGTGTAACAATATATAACTACACAATAATGATAATAAAATTTACTATTAAAAAAAATAATAATAATAAGGAAGTCATAGGATCCAGTGTAGTGTAAAGGAGTTACAGGATCCAAAGGCATTACAGGCTTATTTATTTAATCTCATTTTATTTTATTTATTTATTGTCAAATTTATACCCCGCCCTCCCCGCAAAGCAGGCATATTAACTGAGGGTCTGAGACAAAGGTCAAGAAGAACTGCTCAGAGTCTTGAAATACGTTGATATTTATTTTAGTTAAAATATTTATATGCCCACTACTTTGGGAGCCAAGGCAGGTAACAATGGTAGTTGCTTTAGGTTGCCTAGAATTTTTAATGGTCACAATAGTAAATATTTTAAATTAGCTTAAATCTCTGTGCTAGATGGAATGAGTCAGTGTTTGAAACACTGGACCATAATGTAATCAAAAGATTAATTCTGATTGGAATCAGCATTTCTTGGTCATCTTCCTCCTGAGTCATGTTCCAGATGAGGTGGTCCTGAAGGCTTGGTTTGCTTTGAATAATTTTTTTCATGAGCCATTCTTTAAAAGACACGGGAAGACCACCATAGAATCAGAGTTGGAAGGGGCCATATAGGCCATCTAGTCCAACCCTCTGCTCAATGCAGGATCAGCCTTGAGCATCCTCCTTATTTTTTAAAAAATGTTTTCTTTCTAACCTTGAAGGCTAAACATTTTCTCAAAATAGATAAACTTCTCAGGAGCCAAAAAAATACATGAGGAGCTGCTTGTCTTCACATTTTAAGGAGTGGTGATTGGCTATGCTCTTGTGAAACACAGTTTTATGTCAACGCAGGCTTACAGAATGCAAGCATATCTTCTAATTAAGTATTATTAGCATCTCTCCAAGCTGCTGCATAGTGTCTTGGCTACATGGAGAACTCCTTGTAGGTGGAGCAACTTAATGTTTAGTATATGTTGTCTGCATTGGCTGCACCAGGGGGTCGAGCCTGTGGGGCACCTTTGGAATTTTGAGAGGAGGTGGTAGGCGCCACCACAAAATGGCTGGCATGGGAGACAGAGCCAAACTCAAAATAGTTGTTGCAGGAGATTGAGCCTAATGCAATACCTCCCTCCTTGCTTTGCAAAAGAATCTCTGAAGGGGAAAGCGAAGGGGGAACGGAACCACTCACTGACTGCGGTAAGCCTGGGTGCTTACCAGTCCTGATCCTCCTGATCCTTTTTAGTGAGGGGAGCCAGTAGCAAGCCCCATCCACTCTCTGAAAAACTCAGTGAGTGCCAGGGAAGGATTAACAAGTGCCTACAGTTGCCACATTGGGGAACCCTGGTCTACAGTTCCCCACAGAACATCCTGATTTTTTTTTCATCCATGGCTATGCATGAAACATTTCAAAGGATTCTAGAGGGCAAAGGGTGTAAGAAATGTGTTTTTTTTAAAGATTCATCAGTAATATTGGTGCTTTCAGCAAACTGAAAAGTCAGTTTCAAGAGCTTTAAATTGGCAATATTCAGATGTCATGAACAAATCAAGGCTAAAAACCACACCGGAAGTTCTAAGGCTCACAGGTGCCTTTTCTCATTATGTATGGCATGAAAATCAAAGATTTTCTGGTTTATTTGACATTCAAATAAAATAAAACAGCAAAGCTGGGATTGTTCCGATCTCTGAATACAAGAAGAGAAGAAGAAGAAGAGATTGGATTTATACCCCGCCCTTCACTACCCAAAGGAGTCTCAGAGCAGCTTACAAACTCCTTTCCCTTCCATTCCCCACAACAGACACCCTGTGAGCTAGGTGGGGCTGAGAGAGCTCTGACAGAAACTGCTCTTTTTCAAGAATAGCTGTGCCAGACCTATGGCTTGCCCAAGGTCACCCAGCAGCACCCCACATAATATCCTGATTATGAAACATTGCAAAGGATTCTAGAGGGCAAAGGGTGTAAGAAATGTGTTTTTTAAAAGATTCCTCAGTAACATTGGCGCTTTCAGCAAACTAAAAAGTCAGTTAAGTTGAGAGAGCTCTCACAGAAACTGCTCTTTTTCAAGAACAGCTGTGCCAGAACTATGGCTTGCCCAAGGTCACCCAGCAGCTGTATGTGGAGGAGTGGGGAATCAAACCCAGTTCTCCCAGATTAGAGTCCGTGCACTTAACCGCTTAACCACTGCACCAAACTGGCTACAACCAACAAGACAGCTAAATTATTTCAGAGCCATTCTGAGCCTGATCATTATGTGTTACCGGGGGGGAGGGGCCTTTGAGTTTGAGGTAACTTCTAAATTGTCCCTGTTCTCACCCCCTTGGCCACATTTTTGCATCCAGACTATTCTGTTTATTTTACTTCAATTACATTCTACCTTTCTTGCTGTGACTTGAGGCAGATTACATCTGAAAACAATGCAGTAAAAACAGTATAATGCATTGTCAATGAAATTAAAGAATGTTGCTTTGAAAATGCAGTATTAATGTCAACATTAAAGCAGGGTTACAAGATTTGAGAACAGTGCAGTGAAACATATTACATGCAATAAACAATATAGTAAAACTAGACGACAAAATTAGAGGACAGTGTGACAAACACAGCCTAATAAATACAGTGAAGACTGCCTTGAAATCCATAGACATCAGCTAAACTGTTCCTGCCTAAGTAAATTCTAAGCCTGAATTTTACAAGATGTTTCTCTGTTTCCAGGATTCCGGCAGGCTATTGCTTTGTGGAATTTGCTGATCTAGCCACTGCTGAAAAGTGTTTACATAAAATCAACGGCAAACCTCTTCCTGGTGCCACACCTGTAAGTAAATTAAATAATTGAGGCTCAGGGTGCAAATCCTATGCAAGATTGGAAGTAAGTCCTATTGAACCTTGTACAGGATCACGTTTGCACAGTTGCGGAATGGCATGAATGATCAAGAAAGAAAATTGATGAATCTTTGTTACAACTGAGATAGCTGGAGCAGTTGCATCCAAATAAAATCTAGAAACACTGAAACTCCCATCAGGAGAAAATCCTGTGATGACCCCTCCCACACACACTTAGCAGGTGTCATGATGGACTGGTGTACTGATAAGAATATCTTGTATAAGTAATGGAGACTCATAGGGAGAGGTGCCATAATCTTGCTGAATAACATTTGGCTAATCAATTTCTCTTGGCTTCAACTCCCCACTTAGTTTGGGGATGATAATGGCTATACGGACCTGTAGTACTAGTTAGAGTCCAGAATAATTATGGGAGGTGTTATGAGGCACTTAGGAGAAAGCAGTTTCACAAGAGGGGGTCATGGCTCAGTGGTAGAGCCTCTGCTTTGCACGCGAAAGGTCCCAAGTTCAGTCCCTGTCTCTCCAGTAAAAAAGGACCAGGTAGTTGGTGGCAATGTTCCCTCTAAGCTGTGGAGTCCTGTGAACAAAAATTCTACTTTGTGAGCTGCTGGCATTAAAATTGTGAGCGAGCGATTTGGCCACTGCATACATTAATTTGCTCTGGAGCCATCCTTCCTGAGCAGAGACAAAAATGTGTGAGCTGGAGGCTAAAAAACTATGAGCTAGCTCACACTAACTCAGCCTAGAGGAAACACTGGTTGGTGGATGTGAAAAGTCTCTGCTTCAGACCCTGGAGAGCCGCTGCCAGCCATAATAGACAATACTAACCTCTACAGACCAAGGATCTGTCTCAATCTAAGGCAGCTTCATGTGTTTATTGTAGAAATGCAGAGCAGTTTAACTTCCAGGGTGCCTCTCAAAGCCCACTGTAGGGCACAGGGCAGCTGTGTACCTCTTGACTAGTCGCACCTTGGGCTTCAGTGTTCTATTTCTAATTTTAAAGTCAGCTACTTTTTCAGGGCCAGGGATCAAATACTTTTTTGACAGCTGTATTGTTGTGAAATTAGTTCCTCCTGGAAGCCCAAGCCACATGAGTGTTTAGGACGTGCAGCAAGATGGTGGCATGAATCCAACCTTTGTTTTCTGCCGGTGGGTTGATTTTTATTTTTTTTTAAAGGTGCCACCTCCATGTTCATGAGAGTCTGGGGGAGGGGGTGTTCATTGGGCTGTAGCAGGAAAAAGCAGGCAGGAACACATTTCCTTTTTGTTGCTGATTTCTGCTTGTAGCACCTTGCATCCAAGCTATCATTTGGATTGGCATTTCATAACCTCAGTTAAAGCAAGGATCTGAAATTTGAGGATTTAATTTAATATGAAAACAAAACAAGCTAGGGCATTAAAAACAGAGTAACAGTCACTAAACACCCTTAAATCCATAAAACATATTCTAGATCAGAAGCAGACCATAAAACAGGTAGAAAAGATAAAACCCTTTAGCATTTGGATTGGACATGGTTTTAATATACATTTTGACTTTTAAGTTGAATTATACATCCTGACTTTTTATGTTTTGACTTTTAAATTGAATTATACATTCTGTCCCTTGATACATGTTTAATATGTGAGGTTATAGAAATGCACTGAGTGGGAGGGCTGGCATACCAATTACCATTTTCTGCTTCTTTTCATGTTTCAGACAAAGCGATTTAAATTAAACTACGCAACATATGGGAAGCAGCCAGATAACAGGTGAGCCAGATGCTATTATTTGTGTATCTCTGTATTATGTTTTTACCCTGCTAGTCCTTGAAGGAGTTCAGGGTGGTGTACATGCTTGTTTACCCAAACAGAAAATGCCCTTGACTGTATGATGAGCCCCTCCCTGACAAAAGAAAGTTTATATAGGGAAAAGTTTTATTGTACATAAATTTAACTGGTATGTGAATTTAAGACAACCCCTTTTCTTTTTTCTTGAGGGTACACCTGGAAAGAAACCCCCTGGTCTTCCCTGTAGTTGACTAGGGTAATTTTCTCAGTCTTGTAACAGTGCTGTGAAGTAGCTTTGATAGAGAGAAACCAGCCCAATATCACACACAGAGATTCATAACCAAGTGGGGACTTAAATTGGGGTCCCCCTGGTCTATTCCAACACTGTAATAACTACACAAGTGTTTATTATTTGCATTATTAAAGTGGTCACCAGAAGTGTGGTGCTGTCTGGTATATTGCCCGTAATCCTTTGGGAGGGCGAGTGTTGTAGCAAGTGCACTGCTAGCTTGGATCCAAACAGATTTGCCCAGACTCACAGATTCTGACTGTAAAAAGTATGTATGGCCCTGATTCAGAGGGGAAGTTCCACGCCATTTCTGTAACTAATGCCAGGTTCTCCCTGTACTGTCTGTGGTTATGAATCTCTGACCTATATTCCTTCTTCTAGCCCAGAATATTCACTATTTGTGGGAGATCTTTCCCCGGATGTGGATGACGGGATGATATACGAGTTCTTTGTAAAAGTGTACCCCTCGTGCAGGGGCGGCAAAGTTGTTGTAGACCAGACGGGCGTTTCCAAGTAAGTGTTCTGCTTTTGGTTCTTGATAATTGTTTGAGTTGATGGGAGGGAGAGGGGGAGGCTGGTTTTTCTTCCTTGCACAAGTTGGTGAAGAAAAACAAGATCTAGGACGATGTAACTCTATAGTTTACAGTGCTGGTGGAATCCATATTTTGTGTGTGTGAGTGAGAGATAAATATAGTAATAAATAAGTGGAACTGAATTCCGCAGATCTCCTTGAAGATTACACAAGCTGCCCTCTGGATGTAGTGGGCCTACATCGTAGTCACTGAAGATTTTTTAATGGAAAGCTTGTCACTCTTTCTTTTCTGTCACCACTCACTTGACTTTAACTTGAAACCACTTTTCCCATGTCTAAGTGTGAAGCCTACTTCACAGCAGAATCTTTTGTTTTTGTTTTTTTCAGTTGAAGGGTCCTCCAATTAGAGCATGGATTCTTAGCTACCCAGGGTGGGTCTTCTCAAGATCGCTGGATTTTTTCTTGAATTTGTATTTATCTTTTAAGGGATGTACCAGGAATGAGATTTTAACAGGTCAGCCATTTGAATGGGAAAAGAATAGATACTCTGATATTTTTAAAAGGGGATTTGTTACTCTTTCTTTAATGTACTGTTTCTGACTTTTGACCAGGGGCTATGGTTTTGTGAAATTCTCAGATGAATTGGAACAGAAAAGAGCACTGGTAGAGTGCCAGGGTGCCGTGGGTCTTGGTTCCAAACCAATACGCTTGAGCGTTGCCATACCAAAAGCGTAAGTGTGTTGTTAAGATACAAATATTAATTTTAAGTACAGTGGGATATGGATGCTGCCATGGTTTATTGTGTCCAAACACAGCCTCAGAGTCCTGCCTTTTGTGTCGGGTCGCTGACTTGGTTCTTGGGAGATCACATCAATGTTTCCAGGGCACCATACTGTTGTTCAGCTGTGGGAATGTCTTCCTCTGTCATGCTGCAGAACTTTCTCCCATTCCTTTCCCTCGGGTGCTGTAGCAGGCCAAACTTGCTCGGCTTATTACGAAGCACAATTAAACAGGACCAAGAAACGTGCCACTGCAGCTCCAGGGGGGGTTGTTAAGGAGCATTTTTGCTGCCTTGAAGTGGTTACGGCGGCAGATGATATTTCTGAGCCAGGCGTTGTGAAAAAAAATCTCATTAGTCCCACTGGATCTCTGGTACAGTGAAGGAGACTAAGTTCATTGCACTCCTCACAGAAAACCATTACAAACCATATTTTAAAAAATATACGACTAGCCTTAAAAAGTGCTATGCCTTGTCGATAGATTCCGCCTTCTCTTCTCCCAAGCTTGGTGTAGTAAGATGCTGTAATGTTGTAGGAAGAGCACAGATGCTTACTATATCATTTCCCAACATTTCAAGAGTGTGCCAGTCTAGTTCTGAGAGAACCTGGTTCAAATCCCCTCTCTCCCATGCAAGCTTTCTGGATGACCTTGGGCCGTGCATTCTCTCTCAGTTTAATCTACCTCACAGGGTTGTTGTGAGGATAAAACAAAGAGGAGAATGATGTAAGCTCCTTAGGTCTCCATCATGGAGAAAGGTGGTGTATAAATGAAGTAAAGAGCTAAATTGTGAATGCTACTGTGAGCTCCTTGGAAGGCGAGGGGTAAAAATGTAAAGTATAAAAATAAAGTGGAGATTCTTAGCTATAAAGCCCTTAGCCGATATGAATCAGCCCATCCATTAAGTATAGGATTTTCTTATTCTCTTAGCTTTATTCTTTTGTATTTTGTGACTCCCTATTGCAGTTTTGTTCTAGAAATTACCTTGCAAGCAGTTATGCTGAGGAGCAGGGTTTAAAAAAAGACAAATATTTTTTTCTGGAAGGCATGTGAAAGCTCAGGTTGGCCAAGGGGCAGGCAAGGAAAGGTTGGAAGGGTACTCTTTTTGGGTGGGGTGGGCAGGTGTAGGGAGTGTCCAGAACAGCAGAAGCTGCAAAAGGATAGGTAATAAGAATCCTGCTAAATCAGATCGAAGGGCTCGTGTTCTCCAGCATCCTGTTTCTGATCAGGTGCCCCCAGGAAGCACATAACCATGGCTGGAAGATCGCGGCTTTGCTGTCTTCTCCTATCCTCCCCCTTTCCCCAACTCCAGTAACAACGCTTAATCTGAATGGTACTGCCTCTGAATGTATAAATTCTGTACCGCTGTCCTGGCTAACAGCTGTTGTGATATATTGTCTAAATCCCCCCTTTAAGCAAACTAAGCCAATAGTTCTTCGACGCATCTTACCACACTGAATGCCATACATTATTTGTCTAGGACTTTTTTATTCTAGGAATTCAAACCCAGGTCCTAGTCTGATGCACAAACCGCTGCACCACAGTGACTCTCAATTAGTTACATGTTGTTTCTTTAGTCTTCAAACTACCGTCAGTCAATTTGTTGGGCTACCCCCAAGTCCTGGTAGTAAAAAACTTAGATCGAGGGTGTCCAACTCATTTGTTATGAGGGCTGGATCTGACATAAATGAGACTTTTTTGAGCCAGACCATGTGTGTCATAAAATGTAATGGCAGGTAGCAAAGATATAAACTTTATAAAGGACACAAAAGGGTTTTTTTACTTAAAATAAAAACATGCTTAAAACATGCAATATTTTGTTTATTTAACAGTGTCTAATAACTGACACCTTGCTCTGAATTATTGCATCAAAATGTCTGTGCTGTTGCAATCTTGAGTAGCTGTTCAGGTGTGCATCTGTAAGCAGCAAACCTACGATGATGCAGCAGCAGAGGGCAGAGACAACTGGAGAGCTGGTCATGATTGTTGTATGAAATCAGTGATGATAAACACAGATGTTTTCAAAATCCTCATTCCAACACTGTACCTATCCCCAAGATTTTGTTGTGGATTAAATTGTATTGCTTCTCTGTGTGTGTGTTTTGTAGTTGTTTTTTGTTTTATGCATTCTAGTAAGTTTGTAATTTTCTTTTTTCTTCCTCTTTCCACAGTAACCGGCTGAAGACAGTTGAATATAATCAGATGTACAACTATAACTACAACCAGTACTACCAGCAATATCAGAACTATTATGCCCAGTGGGGGTATGACCAGAACACAGGCAGTTACAGCTACAGCTATCCACAGTACGGCTACACACAAAACACCATGCAGGTGAGGTGGAGTGAAACACACGTGCAACATGCGCAGGAGCCTTGTTGGTACCTGCAAGACTAGCAAGTTTTTAGTGTAAGGTTCTGTGGACTGAAGCCCACTTCATCATATGCATGTATCCACCCCACGTTTATCTGAAGAAGGTGGGCTGTAGCCCACAGAAGCTTATGCTAAAGCAGGGGTAGTTCCCAAGTGTTGGCAAACCAAAAGGGAAGAGAGATGAGGTTTGTACTTGGCCAGGCATGCCTGGAGCAAGCAAAACCCCGGTGATGCTGGCTAGCAGCATTTCAGGGATTTGCCTTTGACTTGACTGGTGGCTGTGCTGTGCACAAGTCATGCCTGCAGCCTTCTCTTGTGTTGCTGGCCTCTCCCCATCCATGGGCAGTGGGGATGCCAGACTCCAGGTGGGACCTGGAGATCCCCTGGAATTACACCTCATGTCCAGACTACAGAGATCAGTTCCCTTGGAGAAAATGGATGCTTTGGAGTGGGGACTCTATGGCATTGTACTCTTCTGAGGTCCCTGTCCTCCCCAGGCTCCATCCCCAAATCTCCAGGAGTTTCCCAGCCTGGATCTGGCAGCCCTACCCCCTCATCCCCTGCTAGTGGCCAGAGAGGACCTGGCAACCCACTGGCCACATGGTTGCCACCATCTTCCTTTTCTTTTTTGGCTATTTTTTGTATTTTGTGTGTGTGAGAGAGAGAGTGTGTGCACCTGGAAGTCATGGTGACCTCTAGTGACTGACCCCTACTGGGGGCCTGGAGGATATTCAGAGAGGTGGCTGAATAAAGCTTGCTCCCGCCTCCCAACTGCTGGTATTCCAAGGAGGTCTCCCATCCACCTACTTGTCAGAGTCGACCCTGCTTAGCTTCTGAGATCTGACAAGATCAGGCTTGCCTGGGCTTATCCACAAGAGCCTCTATTTGTCCCAGCTCAGAGGGTGCATCTTCTGCCTGTATTATTTGTGTGGATGCTCTCAGATTCAAAGCTGTCTCTGCTATCGCTATTAATTCATTGGTGGTGATGGTTCAGGTAGCTTATGAAACAGTGAGTAGTTGTATGGCTTGAAAGACCATTGGTTAGCAGTGTAGTATAGAAACATTCTGTCTTACCACCCCAAAAAACTGGGCTGACAACCTGTACCACCACAGTGTACATAATAAAAAATATGATGTATGACCTCAGACAGCATAATAGTAGTAAAGAGCCATAAAGCACTGCTGCAAGAGGTCTCTTCTGATTCCTTCACCGCTTTGTCATTCTCATTCTTGCAGACCTACGAAGAGGTTGGCGAAGATGCGTTAGAAGGTAGGTTTGCTTATTTTAATTCTGTGTTAGAAATAGCACTTGTCCTTCATCTGCTAACCCCCTAACCTCTGGGCACTCTAGAGATGTTCTGGAGCAGCAGAATGCTATAAGAATACAGTCACTCACAATGGTGAATAAATGGGGTGTAATGAGAGAAAAAAATCTTGTGGCACCTATAGGGATCCCTGGAATCAAGTATGGCATATGTTCAGCTGGATTTGGTGTCCGTCCCCTTCTCTCTGTACTTTGCCCCCACCCCAAAGGCTTTGCACTCTCACAGTGCCAGGGTAAGCATAGTTGTAGCCTTGTCCCGTTGGTTTCAGGGGACTTAGAAGGGTGTAACTTCCAAATTTTAACTTGATGGTAGGCATCCTGAATAGCCCAGACTAGCAGGTAAGGTGCATTGGCCACAGTTATTACTTGGGTGGGAGAGCACCAAGGAAGTCCAGGGTTGTTATGCAAAGGTGGGCAATGGCAAAACCATCTCTGCTCATCTTGCCTGAAGTCAGCTGCAACTTGATGACACATAATCATCATTATCATGATTTATCCTTGCATTGTCTTCATGGGAAAAAAATCCCACTGGTCTTCCCCAATCTGAAGAGCTGTCAGAGTCAGTAATATAAGTGTGACTGAAGGAACAGGTGATAGGCAAGGCAAAATGTTGTGTGCTGAAAGTGTCTTCCCTCATGGTTTGTACAATACAACTGGACTCCTCATATCTTTCACCTGTTGGGGTGAAAGGGAGGGTATAAATGAAATACATAAACAAAGTGCATTGAGACTCCCTCTCTAGATATGTTTAGTTGAGACCGCTGTTTGCGTCCGCCCGAGATTCACTCATGTAGGCTTCCTTCCACTTCCAGATCCAATGCCCCAGATGGACGTGAGCGAAGCCAACAAACAGTTCATGGACCAGAGCGAGGAGCTCTACGACGCCTTGATAGAATGCCACTGGCAGCCTTTGGACAGTGTCTCTTCGGAGATCCAAGCCGTGTAAGGGCCTGCATTGCAGATGCGCCGTCTCCAAGCAAAAAGCCAGCGTGCCCAGAGCCTCTGCCAAACATGCAGAGGCAGCCGCTGCAAAAGGGTTGGCCTCCCTTTCCTCTGCACCCGCAACCCCCGGCTCCAGAGTCGTACGGAGGAAGTCCTGTGGCACTTCCTGGACATGACGAGTGGCAGAGGAGCGTTGTGGTCACGCTTTTATTCATGATGAAAATTTAGAACTAAAGACACTTAGTTTTGGGGGGGGTTGGAGGGGGGTGTTCAGGGTTTTTTGTTTATGGTCTCAGAGCAGACTGTTAACACTTGTCAGAGTTGTAATTTATGAACTTTAAGAGAGGGGAGGGGGGAAAGGATGACGTGGGAAAACTTTTACTTCGGTGTACAATAAAAAGATTATCTTTTCCACTGTAGGTAGGATGATTGTGTTATCCTCCTGTTGTTTAGATGGGATTATGACGCAAAGAAAGTTATGGGAGGAAATGTCCTGGATGTTCAACCTTATCCTCATTGGATGCTAATAGGATGAAGCCATTAATGCATCAAGGTTGTGCTGGAGAAGGAGACAGTCCTCTTTATGGGGGGCAGGGGCAGTTGACAAACAGAACTATGTAAGAAGCTGCCTTTCTGGTCTTTCTAGCTCAGTATTATCTGCTCTGTTTATTGACTTCCCTTATACCCTGCATTTTTCGCCGGGGGGGGCGGGCGCAAAGTGACTTACATCGTTCTCCTGTATTGTATCCTCACAACAGCCCTGTGAGGTAGGTTAGGTTGAGTATGTGTGTTGGCGTCAAGGTCACCAAGCAAGCTTCTGTGGCAGAGTGTCCCAGATCCTAGGCGGGCACTCTAGCCAGTATACCATGCTGGCAACAGTGCTCCAGAGTCTTGAGCTGAAAAGGGGCATCCCTAATACTGAAGATGTCAGTAGAAAAGAGTAAGAGCCCAGTAGCACCTTAAAGACTAACAAAAGATGTGGCAGGGTATGGGCTTTCGTGAGTCACTGCTCACTTCTTCAGATACAACGAATGGATTCTGGCGATCTGAAGAAGTGAGCAGTGACTCACGAAAACCCCTACCCTGCCACATATTTTGTTAGTCTTTAAGGTGCTACTGGACTCTTGTTCTTTTCTACTGCTGCAGACTAACATGGCTACCCATCTTGATCTATCTCCACTGAAGATATCAGGTCATCCTGCCTGGGGAATGTCTGCCTGCAAAGCATGTGCTCTGTCCATTGTGTTTGCAGCCCTTTGTACTACATACTAAGTCTTTTGGTCCATTTTGCTCTGAATTGGCTCTTCTGACTGCCATGGCTGTTCAGGATCCCAGGGAGGCCGCTATCTGACAGCATCCGAGACTATTTTTAATTGGACAGTGGCAGGGACTGAACCGGGATCCTTCTGCATGTGGATCATGTGCTCTGTCACTGAGCCATATCTCCCACCCCCCCAATTCATCTTGATCTTCTGGCTACTTTCCAAATCGAGGTATGTGTGCTTAAACCTGTCGTTTATAGAAATGGCCACTTACAGGCTGAGTTTTGAATGGTCCAGGTGAAAGAGAGTCTGGAGGGTATGTCTCGCACTCCTCTTCCAAACACCAGCAAAAGAAGGGGGCATCACCAGAATCCATTTGTGCCTTGGGTGGGTTGTCCTTTTCCATCTTTCCAGTAGTGTGTCTTCCCACTGTGACCACGCCACAGAAGTGTGGAAATTAGAGTGCTTGCTGCTTTTGCAAATAGGATCCGGGAAGAGAAAGTAGGAGGGGTGACAAAGTGGAAGCAAGGTTCTCCCTGCCACTGACATTGGAGGGAGGGAGGGAGTTCTTGTGCCACAGCAACGACCAGCCGTGTCACTTGCCTGTTCCAGAATCAAGAATACTCAATGCTGAAACGTTCCTTCTATGAGGATCTGTCCATGGAAAGTGGTGGGGATTCTCAGGGCACATTAGTTTGTGCTTAGTAAAGACCTCGATGTCCTTGACAACCACGACGGTATAATCACTGACCTCGAGCCAGACATCCCAGAATGTGAAGTTAAATGGGCCTTAGAAAGCATTACTAACAACAAAGCTAGTGGAGGTGATGCTATCCCAGCTGAGCTACTCAAAGTCTTAAAAGATGATGCTGTTAAAGTGCTGCACTCAATTTGCCAGCAAATTTGGAAAACGCAACAGTGGCCACAGGATTGGAAAAGGTCCGTATACAGTCCAATCCCAAAGGGGCAATGCCAAGGAATGTTCAAACTATCACACAATTGCACTCATATCACACGCTAGCAAGGTCATGCTCAAGATCCTACAAGCTAGGCTTCAACAGTACGTGGATAGAGAACTGCCAGAAGTACAAGCTGGATTTCGAAGAGGTAGAGGAACTAGAGATCAAATTGCCAACATTTGCTGGATTATGGAGAAAGCAAGAGAATACCAGAAAAACATCTACTTCTGCTTCATTGACTATGCTAAAGCCTTTGACTGTGTGGATCACAACAAACTATGGCAGGTCCTTAAAGAGATGGGAGTACCAGACCACCTCACATGTCTCTTGAGAAACCTGTATAAGGGCCAAGAAGCGACAGTTAGAACCGGATATGGAACAACTGATTGGTTTAGCATAGGAAAAGGAGTACGACAAGGATGTATATTGTCACCTTGTTTATTTAATATATATGCAGAGTACATCATGCGAAATGCTGGCCTGGATGAATCACAAGCGGGAATTAAGATTGCTGGGAAAAAGAACAACAACCTCAGATATGCAGACTATACCACTCTAATGGCAGAAAGTGAAGAGGACCTTAAGAGTCTCTTGCTCAGGGTAAAAGAGGAGAGCGCAAAAGTGGGCTTGAAGCTCAACATCAAAAAAACTAAGATCATGGCATCCGGCTCCATCACTCCTTGGCAAATAGAAGGGGAAGTCGTGGAAGTAGTGACAGACTTCACGTTCCTGGGATCCCAGATCACCGCAGACTGTGACAGCAGCCATGAAATTAAAAGACGCCTGCTCCTTGGGAGGAAAGCGATGGTGAACTTAAACAGCATGATAAAAAGTAGAGACATCACCCTGCCAACAAAAGTCCGTATGGTCAAAGCAATGGTATTCGCAGTAGTCATGTATGGCTCCGAGAGTTGGACTATAAGGAAGGCCGAGCGGCGAAGAATAGATTCTTTTGAACTATGGTGCTGGAGAAGACTCTTGAGAGTCCCTTGAACTGCAAGAAGATCAAATCAGTCAATCCTAAAAGAAATCAACCCTGACTGTTCCCTGGAAGGCCAGATAATGAAACTGAAGCTCAAATACTTTGGCCACCAAATGAGAAGGGAGCACTCATTGGAGAAGACCCTGATGGTGGGAAAGATTTAAGGTCAAAGAAGACGGGGACGGCAAAGGATGAGATGGTTAGACAGTGTCATAGATGCAACGAACATGAAATTGAGCCATCTTCAGAGGACGGCGGAAGACAGGAAGGCCTGGCGTGATCTGTTCCATGGGGTCGCGAAGAGTCGGACTGGACTGTGCGACTGAACAACAAAAACCTGTGGCCAAGGTGAGCTTTTCAGAGTTCAGTTGCTTTCTAAATCATAGAGGCAGTGTCCTGTTCCCAGGCTTCTAGAAGCCCAAGCCTGTTACAGTAAGTAGTCTGCTGCTTCAGTCTGATAGTTTTACACCATTTTATTAGATCATGCATCCAAGATTCAGTAACTCACGTTGGGGCTGCTAGACAAATGAAGTTCATACTCATGAAGTATCCATGAATACTTGTAACTTGTAAAGTTCAGACAAAGAATGTGAATGCAACAATAAACATTTTCCCGGGCTCATGCTGGCTCCAGGAAATGGCCCTATCTAACCAATGGGGGAAGCTAACATCAGAGCATCTAACTACCAACTACAATTCTCATGAGACTCCAGCCTTAAAGGTCCAGGACTAATAAGTCTGTGCTAAGCCAAACAGCTTCTATGCTTTTATGAAACCCTGCTGGGCAGTACAGGCAGTGACCTGTAGCATAGTGGACTAATGTCCTTAGAAGTGTGGTCCTGGAAAAGTCTCTTCAGGCACAGCTGTCTCCTGCTGGTGAGACATTTCTGATAAGTAGCATATCTTATCTTTAGGAGTTCAGGAAAACTTTGGCAAAACAACATTGCATAAAGTTTCAGCTGGGTAGCTGTACTGGTCTGTACTAGAAGAGCAAAATCCAAGTCCAATAGCATCTTAAAGACCCAACAAGATTTCCAGGATATAAGATTTCGAGATCCAGTTTGGTGTAGTGGTTAAGTGTATGGATGCAAAAAAAAAGTGCATGGATGCTAATCTGAGAGAACCAGGTTTGATTCCCCAGTCCTCCAGATGCAGCTGTTGGATGACCTTGGGCAAGCCAGAGTTCTGTCAGAGCTGTTCTTGAAAGAACAGTTCTCTCAGAGCTCTCTCAGCCCCACCTACCTCACAGAGTGTCTATTGTGGGGAAGGGAGTCTGTAAGCTGCTCTGAGACTCCAAGTGAAGGGCGGGGTATAAATCCAATCTCTTCTTCAACAGGAAAAATAGCCAAGTGTTTCTCCTCTGCTTGAATCAAGCTGATTACATTTTGTATTGTCCCATTGCATCCTGACTTCCTTTGTACAACCCTCTCATCTGTTGGCAGGGATGTAAGGCATTCCTACTTGTATCTGGCCATGTCCCAAAAGCTTATACTTTGGAGATCTTGTTGGTCCTTAAGGTACTACCGGACTTGGATCTAGCATTGCAATAACTTCTCCCTCATAAATAAAAGCCGAATAGTGGTGGCACTTCTCTAGAACATTCCACACGCTCCAAAATCAGTTCGCGCTCTGATCTGTCATTCAGAGGGTCTCCCTATCCACTGGCTGCTTTGCCTGAGTCCTGCCTCCAACATTCTAAACATTTTGCTAATCCTCTCCCCCCTATAGCCACTCAGAACTCAGAGGTTATTTGCATATGCAGCCTCATTGGCCTTTGCCTCGGAACATGGAGGTCGTTTGCATATGCGACTTGATTGGCTTTTGCCTCTAACATTCTAAACAGTTTTGCTGTTCTGAGGTAAAATGTGTCCAATCTCCAAGTGAGGGCTGGAGATCCCTCAGAATTACAACTGCTTTCCAGATGGCAGAGATCAGTTCCCCTGGAGAAAATGGTGGGCTCTGTATCCTTATATGCTGCTGAGGTGGCCCCCGTATGACAGCCAATGTGACGTAGCAGTCAGGGCTTCAGAGCGCGGGAAAGGCAGGTGTGTGGGGGATGGAAAGCTGAAGAGTGAGGGGGAAATAAAGGTAGGTTGATGATTGGCTGGGAAGAAGATAGGGTTGCCAGCTCCAGGTGGGAAATTCCTGGAGATGTAAGGGATGGAGCCTGGAGAGGGTAAGGTTTCAGGAGGCGTTGGACCTTGGACAGGTACAAAACCACAGACGCCACCCTCCAAACCAACTATTCCCTTCTGGGGAACCATTGTTGCCAATCTCCAGGTGAGGGCTGGAGATCACTCAAAATTACAACTGTTCTGACTTCCGGTTTGTTTGCTGTGAATGGCGGTCGCAACTTCGGGAGGCTCCCGGAGGCGATTCGCCCACGTGCGGTTAAGGGGGGGGATCCGCACAAGCGGAGACCCTAAGGAGCCTCAGGGAGAGGCTCCGATCCGGGGCGCTTAGGGGATGTGCCTCTTTACCGGCCAAAGGTCAGAAATTGAGGCTCGCCCCATGCCTCAATGTCCCTGCCGTGGCGGTGCCCCGCACGGGGACTAGCAGTGCTGCCGGACGTCGCAGAGTGATGAAGCGATCGAGCGTTTAAAAGGAAAAAGCGAGCCGAAACCATGAGTTGACGATCGGGAACATGAGAAAGAGACAAGCGTACCCTCCTATCGAAAAAGCGTAAGGGAGGAGGGGGAGAAACCCCCCCCCGAATAAACTGAGACTTTATTAACAGAAAGGAAGGGGGGAGTGAGATTTTAGAAGAGTGGTGTTACCTTTTGGTGAATTGTGTAAGGAGAGGCAGGAAGATTCATCCTTGAGCTGCACGGCACGAACTTTTAAAAAGTAAACAATAAAATAAATATGTCGGGGCAAAAAAGACTCCCAGAGAAGCTGCCGAAGAAGATGGGAGGAACTTCTGGTTCTGGCTCCCGCCAGAACCAACAGGAGAGCAAGCTACTGTGCCCTCTGCTGGAGCAAATGCAAAAAATAAATCAAACGTTGTCGAGCATGGAAAGTGTTCTCAGCAACCAGCAGATACAGTTGACTGATACAGCTAAGAAGATGGAGGCAATTGCACAGAAGTGCCTGGTTTTAACGGAAGATACTCAAAAAGTCAAGAAAAAAGTCAATAAAATGGAAAAACACCAAGAGATGCAAGATAAAAAGTTGTTAATGCTTCAAATGGAAAAATCAAATTTGACTCTCCGATTTCAAGGCATAAAAGAATTGGAAAAGGAAGATCTCAGAAGTATTCTAGCGGAGGCTATGGCACCACTCACCGGCTTGAAAGCAGAAAAATTAAGCGAGGAGATGGATCTGGTGTACAGAGCCTACTCCAACTTTACAAAGATGAATAATTTGCTGGCAGAGGTGGTGGTCAAGTTTACCAAGCAGAGAATCAGAGATCAAATCTTAAGAGCGACTTCATCAATGCCTTTGAAGATTGGAGAGCAGACAGTCAGAATTTTGAAAGATGTACCATTTGAAATTCGGATGAAGCGGAAGGCATATAAAGGACTGACCTTGCAAAATCATCAAATTAGCTATAGACGGTTGATTCCAGAAGGACTCACTTTTAAGTTCCAAGAGAAAAGAGGAAAGATTGACTCCATCTTCAAAGCTCAAGACTTTTTGAAGAGGCACGCCAGTTCAGAGGAAGCAGCACTTGCCAAATGGGAAGTACTTAGCGGAGAAGAAGGCAGCGGCTCAGAGAAGGGAGACAAGAATCCAGAAGATGAAGGAGCTGCGAAAGGGACATCTTACAATCTGAGAGACGTGAAGGGAAGACAGCCCAGATCATGAAGATTGGTTCAGAAAGCACAGAAAAAAAGACTTTACTAACAATAAACCAAAGGGACACTACTAATACATTAACATTCTTTTTTTTTTTACAGGTTAAGATGAAAGACGATTGATCAACTCACGGAAGAAGCCAAAGAAGATATGATTTTTTTAATTAACAAAAGATTAATATACTAATATGAGCATCACTCGCCCTTTTCTTACTCCCATTATATACCCTCCCTCTTTCTGAAAATTAAAAGCAATAAATTTCTCTCCTTTTTAGGAGAGTCAATTAAAAAAAAATTACAACTGTTCTTTAGGTAGCAGAGATCAGTTCCTCTGGAGAAAATGGTGGACTCAGTGTCATTATACCCTGCTGAGGTTGCCACAGTAAATTGACACTGAGTGTCCAAGGGCGGGGTACCCACCCAGAGTCTCTTTCTCTTTCTACTTTCATATGGTCAGGTCCAGTCAGCTTTTCGGTTGATGAAAAAAGGAAGGAGGGGGGGTAGTTTTGAGCAACCAAAAAGTTGTGGTGGGAATCATGGGACCTGCATGGATAAGATCTATATAATACAGAGATTGTAATATGGGGGAAGACTGAGCCCCTCCAAAAGTTGGCTGGGTTCAAGCCATGGATTCTAATTGGGGCCTGCCTTCATATTTCCAAATAAATGGGTAGGCAAAAAACTTGGTACAAGTTGATGTAAAAGTTGTGTACCCTGATAACAGTTGGCTCTGATGGCCAGAAACCCATGTCTGGACAGAGGAGGTTCAAACAACTGATCTCCAGCTGACAAGAGATCCGCTCCTCTGGAGAAAACGGCTGCTTTGAAGGGTGGACTCTATGGCATTGTACCATGCTGAGGCCCCTCCCCTCCTCAAACCCTGCCCTCTCCTGGATCCACCCCCAAAGTCTCCAGTTATTTTCCAACCCAGACTTCCAACACTATTCTTCACTGCCCACTTCACTTATTCATACACAGTGATGGAGAATACCATAGTATGAATTATCTTGGGTGTCCAATGACAAGCTCTTACATTTCCCCTTCTCAGCCTCCTTCTGGTTCCTTGGTGTTGCATTTTCCCTTTTAATAGAAAATCTTCGACTATTTCAACTTCTTCATTTTATTTATTTATTTATTATTCACATTTCTATCCCGCCCTCCCCGGAGGCTCAGGGCGGCAAGTTTAAAACTGTGTAATACTTCAATAGTTATTAGTTGTGTTTTCTTGGCGGCGCTATATAAAAGAGGATGCCCGCCCACTCCCTCCCGTCTATTTCCCCCCTCTCTATGAAGATAGATTCAGGTGGGTAGCCGTGTTGGTCTGAAGGAGCTGAACAAAGTCTGAGTCCAGTGGCACCTTTAAGACCAACAAAGTTTTATTCAAGGGATAAACTCATACCTTGAATAAAACTTTGTTGATCTTAAGGGAGCCACTGGACTCAAACTTTGCTCCCCTCTCTATGGTTCAGCTCTCTCTTCTCGCGAGGACAGATGACAACGAGGGTAACCCTTCAAGAGTTCCTTACGCAACCCCGGATAGACGCCCTCCCGGTGACGTCAGCGCCGGTTCCCCCTCCTCCCTCTCCGGCTTCTTCCCACAACGCCCGGCACGGCACGGCCCCTCCTCACACTCCTGAATGACGTCTCCGGAGAATCAATGGGCCTTCAGGTACGGCCAGAAGCCCCGCCTCTGAGCCTCTGAGTGGCGTCACGCTCGACCAATGGAGGAGGAAGGGAGGCGGGGGCGAGCTGTCGGGTTGGGCGAGGGCTGCGCCTGTCAGGGAAGGTGGCGCGATGGCGGCGCTTTATGCTTGTACCAAGTGTCACCAACGCTTCCCTTTTGAGGCGCTCAGCCAAGGCCAGCAGCTCTGCAAGGTCAGGGCCAGCGATGGCCGGAGAGGGGGAGGAAATAGGGAAGGGACAGCGGTGGCGAGAGTGAGCCATGGGCCAGAAATTCTTTGTGTGTCCCCAGCATTGGAGTCTTCGCTTAGCCATTTCCTTGGGAGGGTGACCTTAGTTATAGTTTTTCTCAGCGTCTTTTCATCCCCCGTTCCGCCAACGGGAGGGTCTGTGTATGAGTGTTGATATTGGACTACCTCGTGGGGCTGTTGTGAAGATGTGGTGCCTGGCCTACCTTTTAGGGCTGTTGTGAGGAAAAGCGTGGTTAGAGTGTAAGACCCAGGTTCGAATCCCCCGCTTTGCCATGGAAACTCTCTAGGTGATTTTGGACCGGTCTGAGTTTCTCAGCCTAATCTAACCCACTGAGTGGTTGTTGGGAGGATAAAATGAAGGAGGGGAGATCAGTGTTGTGAGCCACTTTGACTTCCAGCTGGGAAGAAAAGCTAGGCATAAATATCTAAACAACTAAAAACAATGCTTGAGAAAGGGAGAGTGGCGTGTGTGTAAAATTCTGTAATTCTGGACCTGCTGTGTTGTTGGCTTGTTGAAGGTCTTTGCTGTCTGGTTTAACTGTTTTTAAAATCTTGTAATCTGCTTTGGTCTCAGTAAGAAAGGTGATCTATAAATGAAGTAATACATATCTCTCCCCAAAAAATCTCAACCTGGGGACACTTTAAACGCTAGCATATTACAGTTAGCTTTCATCAGCCAGAGATTGTTCTTACTAGAATAAATACTGTTATATAATGCTTTGATTATTATTGGGGAAGAAAAGGTTATGAGGCTCCTGGGAAAAGAATTGTGGAAAGAGATTAGGGCAGCAAACGCTTCTGGAATAAATGTATCATCATTTATTAGGGTTGGAAGGACTGGAAGACTGATGGAAGGAGGACTGTGAAAAGAAACTAGAGCTGTCTCTGGATATCATGCTATTGCAAATAGTTCCTGGATTGTCTGCTTGCGAATTATTATGCTAACAGCAAACTTGCAGCTGAAAGCTGCAAGTTTGTGCACAGTTGCTGTGGGGGCGGGGAAGGAGGTATAAACCCCATTGAATTTGGATAGCTAATGTCTGGAGTAAACATGGGGTGGATTGACCTGTAGATTACAGAAGAGAGCGTGGGGGAACCTGAAAGGTACTTCTTGTGCTTTGCTTGATGCAGATTATTTGATTCTCCCAATGCAAGCTTTGTTTGCTGAAGGAAGATGAATTGAATTCTCCCTGTCTGTTGGTGCTTTGATTATTATTGGAGTAGAAAAGGTTATGAGGCTCCTGGGAAAAGGAAGAGTAGCATGGATTTCTGGCTGATTTAAAATGGAGTTAAATCACTTTGGTTTGGAGAGGTGAGGGGGCACTTTGAAGGAAGAGGTGATGTTTATTTTGATCAGGAAAAGCATATTAAAATTGGAGGGAATGGAGCTGCAATTTGGGAAAGCTGATTAGGGAAATTTTAAAAAGTGGGGTCCCTTAACTTGGAGGTGTGTTACACTGTAGAGATTAATTGTAATCTGATTAGGATGCTGGGTTTGTGATTAGATGCTGTTTCCTGTAGAGTGTGCTGTCAAACTACAATTTAAGCGGCTGTAGGCTGGTGTGTCTGTACAAGAGAAAAGTTCTCAACAAACTGTTACACTCAGGAGCAACTATGCAGCTTGTGAAAAAGTTGGAACCTCCCTAGGAATTCACATGATTGTAACTGGTGTCAACATAAGAGAACTCATGTTTCATTTTGTATGTCACTAGCATAATGTGTGAATGAGCCACAAAAAAGAGACTATATGTGGGGAGACTGTAGTGGTGTGTAACATTGCACAGCAGGTGACAATTGTTCTGTGAAGCCAGAAGAAAGTTTTCTATACTATTGTGTATTGTTGTTTAGCTGACAGCTGTGTTCATCTTTGCTGGGACGGTCTCTTTCTATTTTCAGTCCTCCTTTGAAGTATTTCCTTCATCTTTATGGGATAAAATAGGAGTGTGCCTTTGAAAACTAAAGTCTACATATAATGTTTCTGTCTTTTCTCTCTTTCAGGAATGTCGGATCGCACATCCTATTGTTAAATGTACTTACTGTCGAACTGAATTCCAGCAAGAAAGGTAAATGTTTATTCTGGGTAAATGGTGGATTGTCTGGAAAAATCATAACTGTGTTCTTCAATATGTCTTGAACAGGGGTCTGCATAGTTTTCCAGACAAGGGCTTTTTGTTCTGCCTTCAATACTTATTGACAGTCTCTGCTTCCTCCAGGCTTTTAAGAACATAACAAGAGCCCTGCTGGATCAGACCTAGTCCAACCCTGTCTCACACAGTGGTCAACCAGTTCCTCTGGAGGGCCAACAACAGGGCATAGATACTGAGTCCTTCCTGATTTGTTTTAATGTTAACAGTGATTTTAAAAAACAACAACACAGTAATAGTAGTGTGTTTCCTTGGCAGAATTGTTCAACCAGCTTTTATTTATGTTTGTGTTTATTTATTTAATTTGTAGTCTGCCTTTCTCACTGAGACTGAAGATGGATTACTCAGTTTAAAACAATGCAGTAGGAACAGTATACATCCAGGGTGGTTTTCAAAAATAATAAATCATATAAGGGAAGCCACAAATAAATAATGAATTGTTCAATATAAGGGAAGCCACAAATAAATAATGAATTGTTCAATAATCTGTATGTGCAGGCTGTATTGTTAGATAATCTGTATGTGGAGACTGCATTGTATCATATTTCCATGTCATCATAAAATTATTTCTTGTTCCATTAGCAAAACCAACACGATATGCAAGAAATGTGCTCACAATGTGAAACTTTACGGGACGGTAAGTGCTAAAGTTTTCATTGTCTTGGTTCCTTCTGCCCTAGGAGTTGTCTTGGTTCCTTCTGCCCTAGGAGTTGTGATTTAAATTCTGTAGCAATTTGGCATACATAAAAGGGATTGTTTTGCATGAATGAAAAAAAATGGTTTAACTAGCTTTGGGAGCTAGTTTCCTGACAGTGTGGGAAAGTGGTTATTGATTGGATTAAGACCAGGGAGGCCCTCTCAAATCTTCTTTCAGCCAGGGAGCTGACTGTATGACTTTGGGTCAGCCGGTAGGCTGTCCCACCCCCTTCAGAATAATGTGGCCGTAGTTAGGATATACAAATGTGATGAGCACTCCCCTATGTAAACCGCCCAGAGACCCCCAAGGGGGTTAGGGCGGTATATCAAATCGAATAAATAAATATATAAATATAAACCTGATCTACCTCAAACAGTTGTTATGAGCGCAAAGGGGAGGGGAAGAGATCCACATATGCTACCCAGAATTCCTTGCAGGAAGGGTAGGATAAAATGATATGTAAAATTATATATATGTAAATTAAATATATAAATATTATTTCCAAATAAGTCTTTCTGGTAGTTTACTTGTGTGACTTGTCTCAACTAATCTTAGGACTTGACATTTCTAATCCCTGTGGTGTTTTGTATTTTTTTAAAGCCAAAACCTTGCCAGTATTGCAACATAATTGCTGCGTTTATTGGTAACAAGTGCCAGCGTTGTACAAACTCTGAGAAGAAATACGGGCCTCCACATTCCTGTGAACAGTGCAAGCAGCAGTGTGCCTTTGACAGGAAAGATGATAGGAAAAAAGTGAGTATCTTTGCACATTTTAATATTGAAACTGAAGAAGCCAATCATGCTGAAGTTTCTCAGCATCAAAGGGTGACAGTCACACATTGGACATTTTTTTTAGATCCATGAGACATGTGTGTATGTAACAAAGATGGGATTGTCCATCACTCTTTCTTGAGCATGAATTCCAGCAGCATTCTGATGGTGCAATAAAACAGACTTGGTTTAGTAAGCGTGAAACTGGTATTTTAAAATAGAGATTTGCAGGTGTCTGATAGTCACAGTTCATACTAATTGTGGTTTTCTGGGTGTCTGAATTCACCAACTGTGGTTTGTTGAGGTTGCCTGATCTTAGGGGTGGCAGTGTAAGGAGGGTGTCCTCTCTGCTTGGGGGCAGGAAAGAGGCATGAAACAGACTGAGTGGAATTTACACACAAACTCCAGATTAAATGAACCATACCTTAATGTGATTTTTCCTCCTGCCACAAATCCAAATCAGGTCCCCATATACCTGATAATTCAATTTTTGAAAGCAACTGAGAGCTCCAGGCACAAAACTGCTGGCACACATCTGGTTTGGCCATTATTCTAACTGGATGCCCCTGCTGATGTCAAGTGAACACACAAAGCTTCCTTATACTGGATCACAGCATTGGTTTCTCAAGAACAGTGTTGTCTACTCTGACCAGCACCAGCCCTCCGGGGTCTTAGGTGTAGGTCTTTCATATCACCTCCTACTTGAGCCTTTTAACTGGAGATGCAGGGGAATAAGCCTGGGACATTCTGCATGCAAAACAGGTGTTCTACCACTGAGCCACGGCCCCTCGCCTAAGTGAGAAGCACCATTGAACTGGATAAGTCCAAGTACTGAATATAAATGGCTCCTCAGCAGGATGCATGATTTGGAGCAGGTACGCCTTTCTGCGCACAATGTAGAATCAGAAATAGTCTATCATGAAGGCCACACTCTAGTGTGCATTCTTTGGTAGGTCGTTGTTGAGCAGGTCCTGTTTCTTTCTTGTCTTTCAGGTGGACGGGAAGCTTCTCTGCTGGCTTTGCACGCTGTCCTATAAACGAGTTTTGCAGAAAACCAAAGAGCAACGTAAACACCTGAGCAGCTCTTCCCGAGCAAGCTTGCAAGAGAAGGAACAGTATGGTAGGCTCAGCAGCAGTGGCCATTATAACAGGTAATTCTGTCTTACTGCCCCTGTTTCGCTGTATGCTTCCTAGCAGTTTGCTCTTGTGTGTCCTGCTTTCCTCTCTTATAGGAAAGAGAGGAAAGCAGGACAATATTGCCTGCAAAAGATAAAATAGGCTTGTTTATTTCAGTAGTTAGGTCACATTCTAATTTATTTACTGATTTTATATTTCTTTGATTTATATTCCGCCCTCCCCGTGAGCGGGCTCAGGGTGGCTTACAAGGTCACGCAGAATATTGTGACAGTAAAACAACACATAAAATCCAACAATTAAAATTTAAGATTTAATATTTAAAACGTTCAAAAAATCATATTAAAAACCAGAGTAAAAGTTGCCTCAGTAGCAGCACTCGGATGTAAACCTTCTGGGCGGTGATATCAGGCCACTAGGCTAGGGCTGTCAGCAGGGGAGGTCAAGAATGGGAACATGGAGATCCACTGCCTCAACTAAAAGCCTAGTGGAACAGCTTCATTTTGCAGGCGCTGCAAAATTGTAATTTATCCTGGAGGGCCCTGATCTCAGATGAGAGCTTGTTCCACCAGGCTGGACGAGGCTAGTCGGACATCCTTTGGGCCAGAGACAACCAGGAGATGTTGATCAGTTGAGCGAAGGCTCTGTGGGGCTCATATGGGGAAGAAGAAGAGATTGGATTTATACCCTGCCCTTCACTTGGAGTCAAAGAGCGGCTTACAAACTCCTTTCCCTTCCCCTCCCCACAACAGACACCCTGTGAGGTGGGTGGGGCTGAAAGAGCTCTTTCAAGAACTGCTCTTTCAAGGACTGCTCTGGTCAGAACTATGGCTTGCCCAAGGTCATCCAGCAGCTGCAAGTGGAGGAGTGGGGAATCAAACCTGGTTCTCCCAGATTAGCGTCCACACACTTAACCACTACACCAAACTGGCTCTCAGTCCCTGAGATATGCAAGTCACTGGCTGCATAGGACTTTAAAAGTCAGCACTAGAACCTTGAATTTGATCCGGTACTCTATAGGCAGCCAGTGCATTTGGCGGAACACCGGCTGAATGTGTGCCTGCACAGGCATTGTCATCGGTACACATGCCGCTGTATTCTGCACTAGCTGCAATTTTTGGATCAAGTTCAAGGGCAGCCCTGTGTAGAGTGAGTTACAATAACCAAGTCCGGAAGTGACCATTGTAGGGATCACTGTAGCTAGGTCCTGGGAACCAGTTGCTTCACCAGTCGAAGATGATAGAAGGCTGATCTAGCAACAGAGGCAACCTGGGCCTCCATAGGAAGATTGGAATCCAAGATAACCCCTAGACTCTTCACCCTTGGTGCTAGCACCAAAGGCACCCCATCGAGGGTTGGGAGCCAGATTCCCAATCCCAAATTTTCACGACCTAAGTCTGGGACCTCCATCTTCGTTGGACTGACTTTCAGTTGGCTCTGTTTAAGCCAGGGCTTGGGTGGGGGGGGGGGATGCAGCGGAATGGAGTTCTGGAACCTCTTCAACAAAATTCTTTTAAAAATGCTTATAAGTTCATGAGTTTTCAGTATACAGATCGAAAACTTCATTTCCCTCTTGAGAATTCTGGCACCTCTTTTTCCAGAAAAAAAGCCCTGGTTTAAGCCAATCCACCATGGCCTGTAGTGTCCTGGCTAACACCTCTGGGGCAGAGTCCAGCCATCCATCCATCAACAGAAAGAGCTGGGCATCATCAGCGTATTGTTGACAGCCCAGCCCACACCCACTGACCTACTGAGCAAGGGGGTGCATATAGATGTTAAACAACATCAGGGAGAGGATAGCCCCCTGCGGCACACCACATTCCAGTGGGTGCTGATGGGACAGCTCCTCCCTGAGCACCACCCTCTGTCCCTGACCATAAAGGAAGGAGGAGAGGCATTGCAAGGCGGTCCCCCGTATCCCAACATTGGTGAAGTGGTGGGTCAGAAGATCATAATCGACTGTGTCAAACAGTGCTGTTAGATCAAGAAGCAACAGCAGCACATTTCATTAATGTGAAACCAAGTGATTTCAAACGTGGTCTTGACAGTCTTCCTTCATTGATAAGAGATGTATGATTTGTAAACTGGCCATGGGGGAATAAAACCACAATTTATTTATTTACTTCTGGGGTCATTTGGGGCCGGAGCGCACCGGAGCACTGCTCTGGCAGCCCAGGAGTTGGCACAAATGGCGGTGGCGGCAAGCCCCGCTACCCAGCTCCCCGCACCGAAGCGCTGTGGCCCATGGGAGGCCTGAGGAGGCCTGTTGTTGGCCTCCCGGGGCTCGCGCTGGTGTGCTGCGGCCCGGGGGAGGCCTGAGGAGGCCCGTCGCCAGCCTCCCAGGGCCCGCACTGGAGTTGGCACAAATGGTAGTGGCGGCAAGCCCCACCCCCAGCTCCCCACGCCGAAGCACTGCGGCCTGGGGGAGGCCTGAGGAGGCCCGTCGCCGGCCTCCCGGGGCTCTCACTGGAGTGCTATGGCCCAGGGGAGGCCTGAGGAGGCCTGTCGCTGGCCTCCCGGGGGCTGCGCCAGAGCACTGCGGCCTGGGGAAGACCTTGATCACAGTAAGTGAGGGATCCGCGGGGGTGGTGGTGGTGTGGGCTTGATGGGTGGGGTGGGAGAGCCTTCCTCCCTTTCCCCATCTCTTTCCCCTCTTTCTTTCCCTTCTTTCCTTTTCTTCCTTCCTTCCCTTCTCTCTTTTCCTCCTTCTTTCCTTCTCTCCTTTTTCTCTGTCTCT